CTAAAAAATATAAAAAATATAGTTATTTCAACAAAATCATTATATACAATATTAAAATGATAAACCAATGGATAATTTGTCCAATTTTCATGTAATTATTAGATTATAAAAATCAAAATATTATCGTATGTATTGTTATAAATTATGGTATACCGATGAGATATTTGTCAAACTGGCATTAATTATATATTGGGAGAGAAAAATAGAAATATTTATAATATATATATATCAAAGAAATAAATAGCTCGCTAAAGTTGTCGCTATTTGAGAAATAGCTTTTTTTGGCAACGTGCCGCTATTTGTATTCATGTGCAATTTAGCCGCTAAATCCCGCTAAATCTCCGCTATAGTTCCGCTATAGCTACAGTGTCATAAACATTTTAGCCCGCTATTTAAAACCTTGATATATATATATATATATAGAGAGAGAAGAGATCATATGAGAATGGTAGATAGTGAAAGAAATAAGAATGATCATGAACCATTGGATAAAGTGCATCAATGGTCATTATAATATCAAATTTATTTTATAATAATAAAACTTGCATGGCAAAATTGTAATTATATTGTCATTTCATGGGCAAATAAATAGCTTGGAGGACAATTATGTAATTCCATCCCACATTAACTAAGTGGGCCCCACCAATAAACTAATCTCACTCCTCTCTCCTCCCTCCACTCTCTTCTTTCTTGCCCTGCCATTGTTCGAACAATACAGCAACTCCATTAAAGCTGGCGGCCCCGACCTTCCGCCACCAAACCGCCGCAGCCACAACTCCGACCGACCCCGTCACCATCTCCGGTCACAGCGCCGGCACCTGCTTCAACTAAGGCATGTCCGGCGACTGCCTCTTCTCCCGAAACAGTCACCACCATCTCCATTGTAGTCGCCGGCCCCGACCTTCCGCCACCAAATCGCCGCAGCCGCAGCCACAGCTCCGGCCAATCCCGTCTGTATCAGTAGTAAACCATACCTCATCAATTTACCATCTCCGCCGCCGGTCACAGCATCCGGCACATGCTTCAACTCAGTCATGTCCGACGACTCTAGCTCCTCCAGGCCACGCAGTCGCCGTCGGGAACGCTACTGGATTCGAGAACCTCGTCAGAATTGGCCGTCTCATTTCCGGCAACCCTCTAAATCCGCCGTGAAATTCGGTTTTGAGTTCTCAGGGCCATGTATGTCTCGTGGTTGATCTCCGGCGGCGTATAACCGGCCGTCGGGGAGGATTAGGCGGCAGGTGGTTGCTGGTCGGATATGCCTGTGATGGTGAAGATTTGTTTGTGAGTTGGGGCTTCCATTTGAGAATTAGATATATTCAAAGGGTTTAATTGCAATTTTAAAAGTTTTTGATACATCTCAATTTGATGCATGGGTCCAAACACATAATTTATATAAATATGTTAAGGTGCAATTAGTCTAACGTTAAGGTGCAAGCAGATAGTCGTTAAGGTGCAACTCGTATAACGTTATTGTGCAAGTGCAATAATAATAATAATAATAATAATAATAATAATAATAATAATAATAATAATAATATGTAATATAACAAAAGTTTAATTAATGCATAACATATTATGTTATTATAAATCTTTAAGTTTAACCGGTCGTTAATCGAAATTACAAAAAATAATCAAAATAAATTATATTTTTTAATATAATTTTATGTTTAATAATTAATATTATATATTACGTTTGATTAAAAATAATATATTATATAAACGAAATATATCGTGCGATCTAATAATTATTAAGGTGCAATTCATCTAACACTATGGTGCACGACGACTGCCTATTGTAAAACAAATTGAGCCAACCAAAGCATTTGTCCCAAATCAAGTTGAAAATGAGCATAATCAATTGTATTATTCGGCTCGGTTAACTAGATTATATTAAACAATCAAAATAATTTGTTTTATATATTCAATTTATTTTTGATTATGTTAATAATTTTATTTATTATTTCTATATAATTCGTGGTTGAAAAAATTTGTATCTGGTTGGTTTCTATCTATATTGTGCAATCTGATAATAGTTATAAAGTGCAGCGTGTTATTATGTAAAGTGCAACTTGATGTTTTATAAAGTGCAACGTGTTGATTTATAAAGTACATTACTGAGTTTTTATAACTACGAAGTTAATAAAAATAATAATTAATTGAAATAAAATATAAAAGTTTGAATCGAACTTAGTTAATTTATTTTTAATATTGCACAATCATACAATCATTAACGTGGAATTCGTACAATTATAATGTACAATACATAAATAATATATAAATCATAATAATGATAATTTTCATGTAGCTCGACTCTTTCATTTTTTTTATCCAAATAATCAAAATATATAATTATGGAAAAAACTTTATTTCAGTTAAAATGATTGAAGTCGAAATAACTTAAATTATAAAAATAATTGTAATATATAAGTAAAAGCTGAAAATTTATGTTTATTTTCATTTGATAGCTAATGTGCAGTCTAACACACATTAATGTGCAACATGTCTAACACTAATGTGCAGTGTTTCAGTGCTAATGTGCGGTTTAACATACATTTATTATTGGTTTTATTTTATTTTAATATTTTAATTTATTTTTCTTATTTTTATTATTAAAAAATATATGTATATAAAAGTCCATAAAGATAATATTTTTTTTATAACTTTGTATAATTTCAGATTTTGCCCAAGGGTGAAATTGAAATATAATCAAAGATTTTAAAATTGCCAATAAGCCCTTTAATAGTATCAAATTCTCAAAAAAAAAAAAACCCAATCTGCAGGATATTGCCACCGCCGGCCGCTCACGTCGGGGTCGCGACTGAGACGCTGCCACCGTGAGGATATTGCGAGTGGCTTTCTGGCGCCACCGTGAGGGGCGCTAGAATCTGGTCAACCGCGACCATCGCCGGCCCCCAAATGCAAGGCGCGGCGCGTCAGTTCCAGTCGGACTCGCCGGAAAGCTCTGGCCTCCTGTCAGTCGCGACCGCCACTCCATACTGATACACTAAAGCGGCGGACATGTATGACGGCAGGCCTAAAGCGGCGAACATGGATGTGTCGACGGGTTGGATCGTCCAACAATGGAAGCGGCGGCTGTGAACAGCTCGACGACGGCCAATGTCTGGAATGGGGACGACGAAGATGAAGGCGGAGAGGATGTGTGTGGTTTGCGTCGCCGGAGAAGACGACCTCTCGTCTTTGGATTTGAGAGGCAGGTCGGATTTGAAAGGCGGCGGCGGACACTGGCGTTCACGGGTATCGGCCGGCGACGAGAGGTGAACGGCGCCGGACTGTGGCGGCGCTCTGCGGTGTGGTGGTGGCTGTCAAGCTTTTATCAATTCAAGTGTGTGTATATGTGTCTGCTACCGTTGGGTGTGTGTGTTTAGAGAGAGAGAGAGAGAGAGAGAGATATTAATTACCTGATAGTGGGGGAGTGGACGTCTTAGACAATTAATGGTATGTTAGACAATTAATGGTGTATTAGTTGGCAGATTTTTTAATTATTAATTTGGGTGGGGTCTACTTTTTTATGTGTGGTGTAAAAATTACTACAATACCCTTAATGAAGGTATAATTTTGACTTTTTTTAAGCTATTAGATCATTCAATCTAATGGTCAGAATTCATTCTCATTTCTGTCATGGGGAACCATTCTCATGTGAGCCTAACCCTATATATATATATATATATAGAGAAGGGATCATATGAGAAAGGGAGATAGTGAAAGAAATGAGAATAAATATACACTCTAAGATCCGCTAGATTAACGGTCAAGATGGAGTAAT